AATAATAATAATAATAATAATAATAATAATAATAATAATAATAATAATAATACAAAGATAATTCCCTCGATAGCAGCTGGAATTGGGGATTTATTCATCATGTAGAAGACCATAATAAAGATAAGATAAAACAAGATAAGATGAGTAAGCATAAATCCGAACAGAATCTAGCCAATATAATTTTGGCCGATATAGAAAAAAAAGTTTGGCCGTGAGATGGCGTGTGTTTGGTAGACTGAAGCCTGTCGCGACCTACCTGGTCACCCTGTGGCTGGTGGCAAGGTTGCCATTTGGCCTTTTTGACTGCCAAATTCGGCAAATCTGGCCGTATAAAAATTCGCCTGGCCTTAACGTTTGAAAAGTCTCGGCCAAACTGTATTTGACCGAATTTGGCAGAATTTTGTGAAAAGTTTACATTTTTTTTCAATATAGGTCTAATATAACGTAGACTTGTTTTGGATATGTTGTTAATTTTATACAAAAGCTTTGATTCTAATCGTGTACCTTTGCTTAATTAAACGTTCGGGAGTCGTGCTCTCACAAAACATTAAATTTATTCCCCCACCCCAACTCCCCTTTTGGCCGAGTTGACCTAAGAGAGTTTATTATTTAACAAATTTAGCAGTTACATTTAATAATTTAAGTTGTTCGAATGAAATATGTATTTTTTTTAAATGACGTTTATCCTCGTTTAAAACTTTATGAAGACATAACAGTTTATTGCAAGTTTGTACCATATATTGTGTTTCTTTGTCTATGTCTAGTTTCTATCTCTTTTGGTTTAGAATTGAATAAAATAAAATAAATTGTATAGACGCTGCCAGTGTTCTTTATGTGAAGTGCCATGTAAATGCTGGTGTGATCATTCGGGTCCAATGACACCTTCAATTTCAAGCAAGTGTTGCTGAGACTTCCTCGAAGTTACTCTGCAGTTAGGTTGTATATGAGACAGTGGTGGCGCCAGGACCTGCCCGACGGAGGGGCTAAAGGCCCCGACGGGGGGGGGGCCTAGTGGAGCGAATCGAGTCTCACTTGGCTGGGGGTCCAGGAGGCGAAGCCCCATGGAAGCCACGGGTATTTGATGAATTATGGCGAATTTTATTACTTATTTGATAGGCCTCGATTTACTACCGTATAATATGACTCCATGTAGGCTACGGTTCAAAACCAAAACATTTTGAGTAAAGCAAGAAACAAAGAGCATGCAATGTAACCATCTAATTTATTTTCAAATCCTCATTCTTGAAAGTGAAATTCTATATTTTGGAAATTTTGCATTAAATCTGTCAACCACGCTGTCATGGTCGAGGTTGTTTCAACTATCACGATGTATTCCAACCATCATGAGGCTATGTAAATGAGCATTTGTCATAACAGAACGCAAATTATTTTGAATTTTGAATTATTATTATTACTGTTATTATTTATTGTTATTTGTTGTTGTTGTTGTGATGAAAAGTTAACACAAGCAATATGGTGGCTAAACGAATATTATATGTAAATATTTTTTTTTTATTTGTTTGTTACCCGACAAAATATATCATCTTCACCGACGAGGGGGGGGGGGGGTGCTATAGCATTACATTTAAATCAAAAACTTTAGACCGATCTTCATAATGTGACTAATAGGCCTACATGTTAGCAACTATAAGACATAGGCCTATTTATTATTATGATATAGCTGGGCATTTAATTATGGTGATTAGGCCTAATTATAAAAACAAAAACAGTGAAAGATTAACATTGTTCTGTGTATATCGTTTTAAATACAAATGACAGTCGATTTTCGTGTAATATTTGTATGTTAAGTGAATATTATGTACCTATTGTTGCTTTCTACAGTAATTGGCCGATATCGGGAAAAAAAATTGGCCGTGAGATGGCGTGTGTTTGGCCGTGAAGCTGCGTGAAGCCTGTCGGCTATCTGGCAACCCTGGCTGGTGGTCATGTGTGAACACGCTGTTGTGTTGTGAAGGTTTTGTGTTGTAGAGTGGTTTAAAGTAGTCGTTAGTTTATAATGTCGGATAGCACTCTGTCAGTCAGAGAACGGGAGCTGATGTATCGAATGATGATAAGGTAGGGTTGTGGAAACATACAATTCGCATCCATATCCTTATTAATTTTAAAAGCTAGGTCTTGGCCTATAGGCTATGCTTTGGCTAGGCTGGCAAGGTAATATTTCCTGATGCTCAACAACGGGCTATGTCTGGCCCCGGCTGCCAGGTGCCGTTTAATCGACACCACCACTAGGCCTAGGCCTGTATTGTGTAATTAGGATTTAGGCTGTAGGTGTTTTCCGTCTGTGGAATAGCCAATCTAAACATGTTGTTGATTCACCAGCTATCGACATTGTTCCTATTTAAGGACAGGGTATTTGAATTTCGATAACTCACATTCGTTAATTTTCTGAATCAAGTGAACAAATTGTTGACCACCAACACTGTGCGAATATACTGTACTCCATACGAGGGAGGATGATGATGATGAATGCAGTATGGATTTGGCATTGTTATTCTTACACCTCTGTTACACCTACTGTATTCCTAATTCTGATATGATTGGATGTTTATTGACATTACACTTTATGGATTGAAATATTACTAAATACTGTAGGAACATACAATCAGAATTTAGAGTTGCAAGGATTAAGACTGGTGTACAATACCAGACTGTATATTATGACCTGCACAGGGAATCCTCCACGCAAAAAGAAGGGTCGATTCCCATGCAGATTTTGTCAAAAATTAGGCTTTGACCAAATCCTAATGTATGTATTATAAACTGTTTCCCATTCTGCTCACCTATTTTTCTAGTGATTTTCACCGTAAATTTAAGCTGGTTGTTGAGGTATCATCCGCACAATTAAAAAAACCTTGATACAGTATCAGAACAATTATAGCCACTACCTGTTTAATTTTAATTTGCCAATCAATCGATCAAAAATATTTATATACTGTAGCACCATATCCACGAGAGTGTTTAGTGGAGCTGTCACACTTGCGAACATGAACTACACCTGTTAATTATTGTATTATATCTTTTGTTAGTGTCCACAAAGTGTGGAACATAATGGAAAATTTTCTGAAATTTCTGACTTGAAATCGCAATTTTTCCCCCATCTTCAAATCGCTTTTTTGAGCGGCAACATCTAAATTATTTTTGCCGATTGTGATAAAATAAGTGACAAAAAGCTCAGAAGGTTATACTGCATCAAATAACAAATTTGAAACATCACTCTTTTTGGACCCACCCATAGCCCACCTCTTATTATTCCAGTATTGTTCACAGTTTGTTTTTATTGTTAAAAACTTGTTTTTCTTGTTTACAGTCAGCTTTTGTATGATGGTTTCCACGACGCCGCCGGCTTGATCAGCAAAGCTATTTCAGCAGTTCCCGATTGTCCCCCTTCTAATAGGCTTCAACATGTTGTTCAGTTGGGTCTGCGTACTGACCTGGAATGTAAGTGCTCCCATTCAATGGCGAGTTGATTGGCGAGTTGATTGGCCAAGCGGTTAAGTCGGGCACTACAGTATAACCTTCAGCTCTAATATCAGCGCTGGTTCTAACGGCTTACTAGCCTACAGTTCCGGTGGTGGAACAAGTCTTCTCGGATAAGGACTTAAAACCGTAGGCCCAGTGTACGCATTTGGCTCTTATCCACTTTAAAGAACCTAGTACATCCTTCGAGAAGAGTAGAGGGGTTACCCCGGTGTACTGGTACATTAAGTTCCCTGTTGTTAAATGGATGCCACGTGGGACAGTGATTAAGTTCACTTATTGGCATATCCTTGGCGCTTGTGCCTAAAGAAATGAAATGAAATGAACTATATACCAGCCAAATTTGTTGGAGTCAATGCGACCAAAAAAAAAAATAAATAAATTGTGTATATAGTACCCTCTATGTAATAATCATGAAATAGAGTGTCCTTGTGTTATTTTTTTAAAAAATGTAATGGAACTCCTATGGGTTACAGTCCTCAGCCGGTATAGCTTTGTTTAAATATTTATGGTTGGAGACTTATCGTTTAGACATTTATAGTGGCCTGTATTCACATTTTAATAACAAATTCACTTCATTTTTATGAATTTTAGGGCATAATCAGCCAATGCATTTTATCTTTTACAAACATTTTTATGATGTGTGAGAGAATACAATGTAGGCGTGAGATGTAAAAAGTGTGCTCATGCGTCAAACTCACGCATTGTTCATGTTAGCAGGTGTACAGTCCTGGATGTAGCAAAAATTCAGTTTCTGATAATATTGATAAAGCGAAAGCAATCTGAACTCCTGATTACATGTACATGGTATGATGGTGAAGAGTGGAGGCACATTCCTCCTAGAATAGATTTTTTATTTTGAAATTTCAATTTCCACACTAAAATAAAATTTTCAGTAAGGAAACTTAACTAGCTAAAACTTTTTTTTCACAGTTCAGAGGCCAAAGAATATTTCAGACACAGTGGCGCCAGGCTCCTGCATTGATTTGGAGTTTGACACGGATGTGAGGACTTCGGCACCAGAGGCAGCCATGTATGAGACGTGCTACGTGACAGCGCACAAAGGGCCATGTCGTGCTGCAGCTTGGAGTGCTGATGGTAGTTAATTGTTGTATTTAGAGCAGCTTAGCTCGGTCTCCTAATCTGGTGGTAGCCACTGTGTGTGTACTGAACTGTGGAGATCTCTAGGTCCCCTTTTCAATTCCCATCAAATTCAAAATTCAAATGTTTTTTATTTGCAATTTCGTAAACAGTAAACAGTGCTGCAGCTTGGAGTGCCGATGGTAGTTAATTGTTGTATTTAGAGCATCGTGGTGAAATGGTTAAGTTGTCGTACAGGCCAGTATTGAGTAAATGAGCTATAAATTATGGGAGCTCAAAAAATTGCCTAAAACTCCAATTTTTTTTTTCACTATAGATCAACAGTTTAATGTCTTATTTATCATGTCCCAAAGTATTAGTTCTGGAATGGTCAACAAATTGTTTATTTAATGTTATTTAGATAGTTAATTCTATTAAACAATGTATGCACAAAAAACTTTGGAAGGCAATTACTCAAAATCATGTTTATCTCGACTCTAAGAGTGCTGTGCTTTCACTTTCCAGTAACTTAGGCTTGAAATGTCCAATTTCAATGAATGACCCTCTCATTTTAAAGATCACATACTCAGGTATCTCAAAATACCAATAACTTGAATTTCAATTGTTGCTACAACTTAGCCATTTTGCCACAACATGCCTCAAATATGGATTCAACAAAATGTTTTTATGTTAATAATTTACGGTACTAATTCATGGCAAATTCAATTTATAGGCCTACATGTATTTTTTAAAATTCAAAATTGTATCACTGCTCTCCGAGTACACATATTTTTAATTTAGCAATTTCTGAGCTCGAAGTTTATTGTTTATTGAAAAGTCAGTAAAGTCATTAATTTTTTTTTTGCTCAAGGTTTAAGTGAAAACTAATCAATGTTAAATTTTCTTTCAGGTCAGCTGATTGCTACTGGCTCAGAAGATGCTTCAATCAAAGTAAATATTTATTTATTCTTATTCCACATTATCAAATTTAATTGACAAATTTGTGTTTTGCTCACATATAATATTGGCATTAAATCCAAATATGGGCATATCACATGTTTTGGTTTATATTGTTTGATGGTTTTGGTGCTAAGTTCTAGTTCAATCTGCAAATGTCATATTGCAAACCTAGTTTTATTTTATACCAAATCTTTCCAAACCCTACTTAAGTTTTTTTCACTTTACAGTTATAAGTGTATGGACATTTTCCCTTCTTTGTTCAAAGTGCTGTAACAGGAATTTTCCAAACCTTCAATTCAAATTTTGTCTACATATATTTATATACAGTATTTGTATATTTTCACATATAAGTGATAAGTGAAAAAAACAAACATTGATATTTCTTTTTCGGTACAGATTCTTGATGTAGAGAGGATGCTTGCCAAGAGTTCAGCGCCGCTAAATCCAGCAATTGCCGACAACCAACAAAGCAACATGGAAAGCCATCCTGTCATTAGAACATTGTACGATCACTTAGAAGTAAGTGAACACTGCCCTCTGTTGGTCATACCTATTCATTTCAGAAGGAAATTCTAACTAGAACCATCGAATACAAATGAATGTTTCTAATGTGTGTATATTCTACTCCCATTATTTAGTAAAAATACTTTATCTTACTACTTTCTAAATAGATAATATATCTATTGATAATATGTATTTTTTGTAGTCTGTTACAGCCTTAGACTTTCACCCCAGCATTCCAATCTTAGCATCTGGTAGTAAAGACTACACCATTAAACTGTACGACTATTCCAAATCGTCTGTCAAGAAAGCCTACAAGACAATCAAAGAAGCAGAGAAGGTTAAGTGTTTGTCGTTCCATCCGTCAGGCGATTTTCTAGTCGTTGGAACCAAGCATCCAACGTGTAAGAACAATTTCCAGCCTTTCTTAGTTCATTATAACCATCATCATCATCAAACCTCACAGATTGTATTTTTATGCTAATTTTAGCTCACTTTAAAGGTTTTGGCTGCTTAGCTCAGTCAGCTACGGTAAACTGGTGGTAGCTGCTGTGTGTGTGTGTGTGCTGAACCATGGAGATCTCTAGGTCCCCGGTTCAATTATCTTTTGTTTCAGTTGGAGAGCTGAAGTGCAAGCTACGATAGCACATCGTCTTTGGGATGAGCTGTTTTAGCTGTTGGTCCAGTGTGAAATATGGCCCAAGTGCATGTTAAAGTACGCAGTACACTCTTCGGAAAAGAGTAGGGAATTGTCTCCCGGTGTACTGCCCAATCACCAACAGAAGGACCCACTGAAAATACGTTTTCTTCAGACTTTTTGGGTTGTCCTTGGTGTTTACACCAAATAAATCCACCCATCCTTTCAACCTTGTCTCGTGAGATTTTTAACATTGATTGATTTGTTTGTTTTTGCAGTACGCCTCTATGATGCAAACACTCTGCAGTGTTTTGTGTCCTGTAACCCTGTTGACCAGCACACTGGGTCCATAACAGCTGTAAGTAAATCACAAGGTGATGAGTGAATATATATGTGTTGGTTGTGATAAAAAAAGTTCATTGGTGTTGATAAAGGTAGTGATGATGATAAATGTTGTGGTGAATGAGATGATAAATTTGGTAGTGATTGTGGTGATAAAATTGGTGTTAATGATGAGTATGGAAGGCCCTCTCAGTTTCCTGGAGATTTTCATAACTAGTGTAACTTCAGACTTGGATCCCTGTGATAGTGATGATAAAGGGAGTGGTGGTGACTGATAATCATAAAAATGGTGAAGATGATTATGGGGATGGAGGTGATGGTAATGGTGATGAGGTGATGATAATGGTGATAGGATAATTGTGATGGGATAATGGTGATGTGGTAGTGGTGATGGAGCTGATGTGATAATGGTGATGAAGGTGATGATAATGGTGATGAGGTGATGATAATGGCGATGGAGCTGATATGGTAATGATGCTGACGAATTAATAAAGGAATAACTAAATAAATAAATAATGATGTATTTCCACCTGCAGGTACAATATTGCCCCTCTGCTAATTTATACGTAAGCTGTAGTAAGGATGGCTCCATCAAGCTTTGGGACGGTGTTAGCAACAGGTGTGTGGCCACCTACGAAAAGGCACACGGTGGAGAAAAAGTCTGTTCTGTCAAATTCTCAAGAAATTCTAAGGTGATTTATTTTTATATACACTGTTTGGGTTACATTACATCTGTGGAAGCCTTTTGGCGCAGCGGGAAAGGTTTGGTTTCCTAACTGTGTCCTTCGCTTGTGTACTTAAGCAGAGTACTTTATCTGCGTTGCTTCTCTCCACCCAGGAGTATAAATGGGTACCTGGTGGGGTTGCCTGCTACTGCACCAATGTTGCAGCAGAAGTGAAGCATCTGGACCCAATGACCAGGGAACCTAAAGGAAAGGGGCTATATAAATACCAAATAACAAAAATAACAAATAACTCCAAATAAGGACACACAATACATCAAATGACAATGGCTTGAATGTCCTGTTTGGAATATGCTTCATACAGTGTATTATATTCTTATGTCTGAAAAATCGGTTATCAGCACTGTATCGCAGTTGATAATTTATCACACTTTTTCATTGATTCTGTTTTTAATAGATTATGATTTTTGTTTCTCTGCAGTATATATTGTCCAGTGGTAAAGACTCACTTGTCAAACTGTGGGAGATAGCCACAGGAAGAGCTTTAATTACCTACACAGGTGCTGGAGTGGAGAAACAAAACCATAGGACGACTGCCGTATTTAACCACACAGAAGACTATGGTATGTAGAGGGCGGTATTCTCCCCAGTTAATACTATTGTCTATTGATGGTACAGTTATGCTTAGACAGCAAAATGTATGCTATAGACTTTAAACCCTGTGCATCATTTTACAACCAATAACAATCAACTCTTCATTTCTAAACAAACACACATTTATCGTTGAGAAGGGTTTTGAGGGGGAAATTATTCGAGGGAGGCATTTAATTTGTTTTCGTGTAAAATGTATACGTATATACTCAATTAATTTCATTGTAATGTGGAACTACAACACATTATCATCAAAATGTGTTATTGCATATACATAAAAACTTATTGATTCCAGCCAGGTTAGAAAAAAAATGAAATTCTACTGGAGTAGAGCATTAATAGAATGTGTTAAGAATGATATGGCTTCCATTAGATTTGTTTACAATCATTTAGGGGGCCATTTATAGAAGAAAAAATAAATTCCTATTGGCGTTTAATCCAAATGAGGCTCTAGAGAGGGAATATATTAGAGGGGGTGTTTATCTGTCATTGTAATACTGATGAGATGTGCTTATCTAGTTGTATAATGTAATGTCTTTTTTTCTTTCAGTTTTCTTTCCGGATGAAAGGACAAATAGTTTGTGTTGCTGGGACTCCAGAAATGCAGAGCGTAACCGATTACTCTCACTAGGTGAGGAGCTGAGAAATAAAACCAAAACTTTGTTTTAAATTGGGTTTGTTTAAACGGGAATTGTATTAGTTAGTTGCGCTCACATCCAACTATAACTTTTTCTGTATGAATGTAAACAAATTGTATTTTCATCTGTGGAAAAAAGTTCTAAATTTCTAAAAACTGTAGTGAAATATGAATAAATTTCAAGAACAATTTCAAATCGATAAAGAATGTAAATATAATTAAAAATTTATATAGATAATGATGAGTAATATCTTTTAATATGTTAGATAAAAATAAGGCATTTTTGTTTTTTTAATTTCTACAGGTCACAACAACTTAGTCCGTATGATGGTCCATTCACCCACTAGCCCTGGACTTCTAACATGCAGTGATGACCACCGCGCCCGTTTTTGGTACTGCGTCAAAAGTGTCGACTAGATAAACAAATTCACCTTAACTTTGTTGAAGTCCAGATATGAAAATAAAGTTGCTTTTTCTGTGTTTTACAGTAGTTGCACTGAGGATTTCCTACCAGAGGTTATAGGTGTCCACACTCATCTCAATCACCATGGTTGTAGCAAATTTTATGAATTGGCACCCTGGTTGGCAGCTTCTTCACCGACGGGGGTCTTGTGCATCTGATCACCCAATGGTGACATCTCCATCACTGATGCCCCCCTCCATCACTGGTGTGTTAATGTTTTCATGTCAGTCTAAAACTAATCATCTTGAGCTCTTAAGTTCGTCGGACTTTTCCACTAAGCCACGCCCCTTGGATATTGTTGCTGAGGTCCCAAACAGTGTAAAAGCAGAGTTCTCAAGATCTACGAAACTTCCGTAGTTGCTACAGAAATTTTGCCTAATTACAGACATCCGGAAATAGGCAGAAATACTACTACGGAAATATATCATAGGCATAGAAACATAGATAAATAGGTCTTAGAATGTTTAAAACAAATGATTTTTCCATCAGGATTTTTGGTTAAAAAACTCAAGACAAATTATTAGGTGCTTCGGAAATTTTGTATTTACTACAGATATTTGAAGACTTGGTTTCTGAAATGCATTTTACTGACTTGAGAAGTCTGTATGTAAATATAATGCGTTTGTGGGACCACACGGGTGTTATGAGACAGGTGGCGCCAGTGGGGGGGGGGGGCGTCGGGGGGGGGGGCGTCGTGGAGAGCTGGGCTCCCTGCAGGGAGAAAAAAAATGTATATATACTTTCTACATATTAGTAGACTTTCTTTTCTTTTCTTTCTTTTTTTCTTGGCCCTCCTACTGGTTTGTTCAGTTGTTTGATTGACATTTTGGAAAGTTCTGATTAACACTTTGAAAAGCTCCATTATATCAGGGTTTGGGGCAGTAGTGATTAATGTCATTTTTTTTCTACGAAATGAAGCATCAAACAATTAAATTAGTCCAGTTTTTATGAAATGAATTGTCAAAATCAAATGATGTACTTGATGATGTTGCCTGATTCCTGAGTAAAACCTCGTGCTCATGTTTATGAGTGTGATTTCACTCTGTTTTTTACACACACAAAAAAAATAAATTGTTTCTAGATAGAAAACATTGTTGTATTGTCCTCCTTTGATTATTATTATTACATCGACTTTGGTTTTTAAGTAAAAAATATGGTTTAAAATATTTGCTACCCAATCACGTTTTCCTTGGTAAAGTGAATTTGAAATCAGCATTTACAGTCATTACTTTTAGTTTATAGAGATTATCATTCGTTCTTCAAGTGGCGAATCTCTTGCTGTTGGATGAGAATGAATTTATTTTATACTACAAGTCTCCTTCCTCTCTAATTAGAATAATAAAGATCAAAGACATCTGTTAATTTGGGACGTCAGAAAATTTGCCTTTAATTGCAGGTGGTTGCTGTATAAAAGAAATACGGAGAGTCGCATACTTGAAAAAATGAGCCCCACATTAAAGTTTGTAATCAGTTAAGTTAGAAAATACGAAGCAGTATAAAAATTTTGCTTAGATAATATATCAAAATTATATGTAACAATGACAAAATTATCTTCAAGAGTGAAGATTGGTTAATTCACCTGATACGAAATAGACACAAAGATACAGAGTGGGAATTGATGATTGAGTTTATTTCTGATTATTGATATGCAAATCCATAAAAGTATTGTGTTGATGCTACAGATTTAGGACGTAATACACAAACAATGTTTAATGTTCTTCTATATCATTAATTTTCCTTCTGGTTTCGTTGTCAGAACCTGGTGCGTTTACATGCACACCTTTTGCCTCTAGTCTGCATTTCAGACTTTTAAACCCTGTAGCTCTTCGTTCCACAGGCGGGATGCTGACAACTTTAGATGTTTTTGCTAGCGGTGAGCGCAATTTAGATGCACTATGAATTGGCGGCAAAAACCCAGGGGGATAATAGGTTGTTTTACTCTGGTAATATTGCTTTCGAAAAATCAAAGGTAGTTGGAAGTTTTTCAGCATAGTTGATGCATCATAATTCCGCAATTCTTTGATTCTTGAACGTTCTAATGGCCCAAATCGTAGCTTCCCTGATGGCCTATCGTCTGGTCGAGTTGATACCGTAGCCGCCGACGAGTCACTGGCTTTAGTTCCAACTGGTTGTAGACGGAATGAAACTTTTTGCTCAACTGGTGGCCGATGATCCGAGTTTTGTAGGAAAAAATCGTTCCACTCTTTGTTCCTTTTAGGTAGCATGAATGTTACGAGGAAGCTAGACTAGACATCTAGGATCTTTCGGTTGTTGTAGCTACTATAGAAAGACTAATGATAATGAATGCAAGCAAACTTTCTATTTTGAAGATTAGCCTACTGATACTAGCACTACAATATACACCTACTACTGTTCGTAGAATTGACTTCGGCCTACGTAAAAATATTTTGTTAAATATTAATAATTTATTGCAGAATGCTAGTTACAATATACTAATTCTTGATGATAGGCCCAGTTGAAAGGCTTTATAACCCCACAGCAATTTAATATTGCTTTGAAACAATTCAACGAGGGAGCCAATACGATATTTTGTGGAGGGGGTGGGGATCCAAATGTTGATTACTCATTGAGACAAGAAACATTTTCTACATTCGGTGCTCACGACGTAAAAAATATACAAATGTGTATAATATAAATTAAAAAGGTGTTTTTAGTTTTTTAATGTTCGGTTGGTATAATTCATTCAAATGGGCATCGAAAGCACAGAGAAATGACCGACTATTACTGTATTTCAAAAAGTCGGATAGGCCTAGTGGTGTTTTAAAACATGGTGTAAAAGAAACCTCAGGATGGTTTCAAGGTTCTTTAAAGGGCATAATAGATAGATGAGTTTCGTAATAAATTTTGGTAATGTCTGCATTACCACACTTACCTCATTCATACTGTAGCTGAAATTGCGTATTTTTTTGCTGATTAAAACATCAATGGATAGGTCAGTAGCAGTGCAGCGGCTATGGTATGAGGTAACGGTAGTTTGCCTTGATTGTTTCGTCGTTTTTGGTAGGAATGGCGACACTATGGAAACAAATATACGCAGATGAATATTGCGCACTCAGATGTGCGTACGTACGCTCTCTGCTTCCGCCGCGCCGGAACGCCGCTTTCTGCCACATGGCATGAGTAAAATTTGGTAAATTAATGTGCGGAGCACGTCGAGGTCGAATTTGAAACGTACCATGGAGGTTTTCCTCACAAGGACCATTCAGCAGACGCTCACATAAAACATTATCTACAAAGAGGTCTGTCAGGCCTATTATTATATAGCGCAGCCAAATCAGCTAATTATTTTTTGGTCGAATTTTGGGATTGTTGGACTAAATTTGTTGAGGTGTCACTTATGACAATGTTTTCATATGGAGATTGTTTGCGCATGTTTTTCACGCTTATAGATCCAAGTAAAACAGCCAGTGATCAAAGGTTGTGATTGGTCAATAGTTTCAAGTTTCTTGAAGGCCGGTTGCAATGCAAGCAAGAGAAGTGACGGGCAATCGAAGCAACTGCATTATGGATGTAAAGGGATAAAACGCTATAGTGTAATTCAGTTTGTATTACCAGGGAGGTATAAAAATAAGTACTGTATACACACCTGTGTCGATTTTTAAATTCAGGCATTCAAGCTACTTACTGATTTTACTTGTAGGCGGGCGCATGTTCATTCAAGGTAAGATTTCTTCTTTTTTTTTTTATCAGAGTGGGCCACCAGTACCCAGACGAAAGCCATCTGAGTCGTCTGCTTACGGTGGACGGCGCGCATACGAGCTCTACTGTATTGTACTTCCTCTTGAAATGGGAGGTAGGTTCGTTAAAGTAGGCTACTAGATCATAAATAATGAAGACAGACAGATGAAAATACTGCAATTCGTTGGCAAGCCAGTTTTCAAGCAGTATAATTAATTTAAAAAAACACTACCGACAGTCGTGGTTGCAGAGGGCTTCTTTTTTTTCTTTTTTAAAAACCATCTTTCACTTTAGGTGTATTAATTATTTCATCATTCATTATTTTAGCTTGTTTTATGGTATAAATTATTCCCTACAAGACAGCACACCAACTCGGGTGAGGAATCCATGAGTGCTGACAATAACATTTTTCAGGGGCAGCACTAGGATTTGCTCGAGTTGGGGGGGGGGGGGGAGAGCCCTGATGCCACCCCACGAGAGCAAAGTGAGAGTGGTACGTTGCTAATATGCAACAGATACATTTATATATTCACCACACGCCGCCACTGGAGTGTATAAATGAAAACACTTTTTATACCACAAAAAGTGCACTTGAATTAGATTCATACTCAGCTCTTGGTAACACTTTGCTTAATACAAAAAGGAATTAGGCTGTTACATTGCTTGACCAGTCAACTACAATGATATCCCAAGACATAACACAGACATTATACAGGTCTGCCTTTGGGACTGGGTTTCCATGTCTTTAGCAGCTTTGGTCTCTAATTAGAATAATAAAGATAAAGACATTTGTTAATTTGGGACCACAGAAAAGCGATTTTAATTTATTTTGTAAATTTCGAGGACCCTAGTTTAAGCTGCAACCCATGAATAGGGAACTAAATGAAGGTTAAATAAAAGTAGGAGTCATTAATATGAAAAAAATATAACAAGTTTGACAACTCCACAACTTCACTTACTGAAACACATGCTTTCACTCCGATCTCGGTGTTGATTCCAGGATTTCAAAAAGAGATGCTGTGTAGAAATATTACATTCTAGACTGGAATATAAAGCACATAATTGAGGACACTGCCCACCAATGGCATTGGCATTTCCCCGACAGGTGCTCAAATTTCAATCATAACCCTAACATTTGAGCTATATAATACACATTCAACTCAGCCCCACCATGATTGGGGATTTAGTAGCATTAAAAATAAATATTTATTTCATGGATAGATTACATGCATCAAATTCTACTTGAAATAAAAATACAATGCAGAAAGCCGGACTAGTAGAAGTGAGTAATAATAGATGTGGGAAACACAAGAATTTTGATCAGATAATTTACTTTTTATGAAAAATTAATTAATGTTAATTTTAACTATTAGTTTGCCATTTACTACTTCCATTAATTTAATATAAAGCAGGGGTATTCAAGCACCCTCAGCACCCTCTAGCTATGCTACTGGTTCTGGTTAGCTTTAAAAAGTGAAATACAGATGAAGAATTTCATTTACAGATAAATATATGAAAACAATTGGAGTCTACTAATGTTTTATTTTGCAATTGTAAATGTAAACAGCAGCAGTATTTTCCAGCTTAATTTCTAGTGGGGAATCCAGGAATATCTTCCTGGATTGAAGCCCTAGCATTTTAAATAATTTCTCTATAATTCAAGAGTAATTTTAATAATATTGTCCCTATAATCAATCAATAGTAATAAAAATTTATCATTACAAAGGGTCATGATTATTATATTTAAATTACCATTTGATAAATACAGCCGTATATTATATAGATATTCACAAGGTCATAATTTTGGTTACAGGTAACTCCATTTATTGAAACACAAGCTTTCACTCCACTTTGGGCAACTTTGTCAGTTGAGACCAGAAAGATGTAATTTAATTTGATATAAATATAGTATATTGAAAATCTGTTTCATTTTATTATAATGTCATTGTTACTTACTGTATATTTACTATTTTTTATTTCATGTACATAATTTCAGAGTAAAGCCAAACAAACTCAAATCGGTCAAAAAACATCTTATTTATCCTTTACACAGTTAACATAAACACCATTATATACATAAACCATAGCCTCATTCTAACTTGACATTACATTTTCTCCATAATTAGTATTAATTAATAATAAGGTTGATCATAATGTATGGAGATTTTGTAACATTATGTGCCGGGCCGGCCCCTTCCCCTTTTGGAAACCCCCCGCCCCTTTTAGAAAGAATAAATTGATCGCCCAAAAGGCCTCAAAGGTTATTTTCGGGCATCTAAAACACAGAAATTTCATGGGGACTCCTAGGGTATTGTAATCTCGATCGGCCCCTTCGGAGGCTCCTCCCTCCACACCTTTGTGGATATTTCCCGATCCGACTCTGCAAAGCCATGATTATTATTTTAAAAACACTGTACAGTCTATCAAATTTGTTTTGATAAAAAAAAACTGTTGTATGCCCATATATAGTCATGATGTGCCTACATATAATCATGAGTCATGATAGTCACATATTAAGGCATACTAAATAATTAAAACATGAAGTATCGCTGTGCTAATGACAAGCGATTGGCTGGAGGGCAGGTTAAATGCTGTGGTGTATCATCAGTTTCACGATCCCGGACATGAACTTTGTATGTTGTTGAATTCACTACAAAGAAAGAGAAATTTTTATTTAATAATTAAATTACTGTACATATTGAGAATGTTACTACCAAAAAGTACTTATTTATCTCAAAGCTACAGTAAGAAGTAATGCAAATATCGTATGACCAAAACTTGGTTGGCTACAAACATTAAAATAGAAGAAATACCAATGCAGCACTGAGAAAAAGTTTTGAGAAAAATTCTTTTATTTTTGGCAATTTCCTATTTATTTTCACTAACTCCCATTTGAAAATGGCAAAATTTTTACATTTTGAATTTTAAACTCAAACTTCAGGAATATTAAGATTAATAATTATACTTTATTTATTACACAAAAACCCAATTCACACAAAATTCATATTTTATGGCATGTTCTGGCTATTGAGGCTTGTTTCTCAATACAGTGCTGTGCGAGTTTACAGCCTGTTTGTGAGCCTGGGTCACATATTCTTTGAAGTAATTTGTCCAAAGTAATAGCTTAAGACAAAGAGCATCTAATAATATTTGATATATTTATCTTAAAAAATCCACAAATGCAAACCCCTCCCCCCAGCCCTTATTCTTCAGTATCATTAAGTCTCTTTCATCTGCCTCCTCATCAAATAATACACAAAGTTAAATAATATTTGTTTTGAAATTAATAATATACTTACCAGTTATTTCTGGAAGATAGTTATTCAATATCATATCTTCTTTAGTCAAATTTCGACACCTGTGAAACACAAAATTCAAGATGAATGACATCGAGTAAAGAAAATAAATTATGAGGAAAATAAATCTGGTATGCCTGTCACATAAATAACCCACCATTTCCCCCTGCCCTTTCTACTATAACTACCCTGTTTGACACCGGCCACACCAGTTCACTCGTACCCCTAGAATCATTTTTCCTTTCTATGCTTATCAAACATGAGCAACATCTACCAAAATAGATCTCCCACATGTAGGCCTGCCTTGATTTTTTATTCTTACCTGCGAACTGGTTCAGCACATTTGTTTATCCCATACCGTTCTTTAATACCAGCACCTGCTGCTTGTGACACAAATATCACAGAAGAATTCCCAACGGATTTTCCATAGGCACCAAACATTTTCCGCATCTTAACTGGTTCTGGAGTTGGAATTGAAGCATTTGGCATACCTAGTAAAAATTGAAGAATTCCGGAATAAAAACACGGAGCAGCCTTGGAATTACAGAATTACAATTATATAATAAACCTAAGATATACTTGTGGCACTAACAGCCATAGGGCCATACCAGGACTGCCAGGGGGAGAAGACACTATCATTTTCATCTTATTTTAAAACTCAAAAAAAGTACCCTCCCTCGTAAAGCAGAGACTCCAAATTAGACAAATTTGCAGGCATGAGAATTTTGACCTGAGAGTGTAGTGGGGGTGGGTGGTCAGGGGAAGATGTTGGAATGTGTCTGTGCATACACTGCCTATTTCGAGCTATAAAATTGAAAAATTGAATTCCGTATTCCGAGCTTATTCTGATTTTATGGCAGGTAGTATACTGCAGATAATGAGTGTTTAGTATGGAGCTACAAAGGTCACAAATTATTAAACACACATTTTTTAATATAGGAAAAATCATTAGTAAAGAACGATACCCATTTGAGCCCACGCTATCTGTCCACCTTTAATGATTATTTCTGGCTTAGCTCCAAAGAATGCTGGCTTCCAAAGCACCAGATCAGCTAGCTTCTTACACTAGATGTACAGATAGAAAACAGAAACCATTTAATAAATTCTTTAAATAGTGGAATTTTGGGATACTGCAACCAACTGTCAACTGTAGTACTCAAAGAATATGAGAGCATCTAGATCAACAAAGTTTAGGGTTATCTACACGGTATTCTGGACCAATCATTGTTTGTGTTTAAAAATATGTAAATAATCATACCTCCACTGAACCAATCAAATGACCCATACCATGACCAATGGCTGGATTAATGGTGTACTTGGCAACATAGCGCTTCACTCGGTAATTATCATTATCTCCCTGTTAAGAAAAAAATCAACATTTGGTTATATCATTCATAAGATGCTTGTGAGCAGTGACAGTGCTAGCTGCAACACAGGAGACACAAGCTCCTCAATGGACAGACAAATTGCCACACCAACCTTCTGAATAAACTTGTCAGAACCTGCCTCCTACCCCCCCCCCCAAAAAATTAATTTTACAAATTCTTTGGGAATGAAATATGATAAGTGTCTCAGACCCTCTTAGAATGACCTAAAATTGCATCCTGTCAAAAAACTGATGTATGCCCATATTTAGTAATGATTTGCCTCTATATGGTCATGATGTAATGTAATGTAATGTTGTCCTTGAGTGTCTTTGAACAAGGCACTTTATCTTCATTGTTTCTCTCCATCCAGTCATAAAAATATATAGCTATTGGGGTTGTCTGCTCCTGCGCAGATTTCAAGCAGCAACACTTAAAGCATGTGGACCCAATGACCAGGGAAAAGAACTGCGCTTTATAACCGCAAGGAAGAGGTGCATTATAAATACCCGTACCAGTACCAAGATATTCAGGCATGTCACATGTTGTCAAATAAATTTGATAGTTTAAACAAGGCTTTACATTTTCATCCTTAAGTCGTCCTCTGAAGATTTTCATTTTATCTGCAGTTTGCCAGGTTCTTCCAATGACTTCACCAATCCGACCCATTGCCTACAAGAACAATAAATTTACATTTAAGTTCAATAAATGAAATCAATTTTAAAACTAAAAAATCCTACAGTAGAGAATACTTTTTGTTTATTCTTTAAGTGTAGATAATAATTTCACTGATAAAATCTATCCTGTAGAACTGCCTTTTGGTTAAAGTCAAAGCAATGAATAGGCCTGGATTTTCGAGTCCCCACCACAGTGTTAGCAGCGGCCCCAAGTTTTCCTCGACTCCCAGGAGTATCCCAGAAATCTCACAAGCAAGATCCTGGAAACCAACTTACCTGCGCATTTTAAAATTTTACTACTGTCTATCGACTGTCTCCCAGAAGTAATGAGCTGGCCACGGAGGCAGCAAACTATTGTACTGATCGATTAACCCAATGCCCTGGAAGTGGGCTCTCCCACCTTGGGACCCCCTGGGAGTAATATCTGAAGCTCACCTGTGAATCCGAGGACACCATACTGATTGCGCCCATGTCGTGCAGGATGTCTTCAGCAGCAATTGTTTCAGCTCTGATTCTTGACTCGGCAAAAGCAACATCCTCCTTTAAATTCCTTTTTCAAATTATTAATGTGAAATGAAAAAGAAAAGAACAATCTTGGTGACCATATAAGTTTTCTAAATAGCATGTAAAGCGAGTCTCAAGACAGTGATGAGGTAATTGCTTTCTGTATTTTTAGTAATATTTGATAGTACTATTTGATTTGTATTTTAAAGAGAAGAAAGTGGAAATTTATTCATTGGACACAAAATCAGACAATCAGAAAGACGAACTTCAGCGACTTATACTGGATGGGAAAATGGAAGGTAATAGAGGATTTGGAAGACCAAGCTGCCTGGACAGGAAACAACAAAGTGAAAAAGTGTCAGGATGGCGCAGGATAGAAAGAGGTGGTGATCCATGTCAGTCAAACTGCTTGGAGCAGAGGACAACCATAGGTAACAGGTAATTGCTTGAAAATATATTGAACAGGATGGATGAAAATAAAATTTCAGTACGTTCATTAAGGATTTGAGAGTCAAGTTCAATGAAACCTCAGCATTCAAAAATAATTTCAACTCAGATCTTCACCCACCAATAATTTGAGCTACAGCTTCACTCCCTTGTTACAAATCACATTAATTATCCTATTTCTCTATGGCCATACACATTACTTTATATTCTGTTATTCCTCTTAAAGTCAACATAATTATCATCATAATTGTTAACTATATCAGGTTAAGTACGTCATTATGCATGACAAAAAGGTCGAGAGAGGCCACATGAAATAAAATGGAACTTGTTCACTTGAAGTAAATTGTCATTGTGTTTCTTTTATTTTATTCGGCTGTTTCAATAATAACCTTTATTTGTTATCAAAATAAAACAGGTACACTGAAATAATTCCGATTTGTATGGATTTTTATTTAGGTCCCAAAAGGTGAATCCCACATGTGTGTGCTCAATTGACAGACCTATTTAAAGCCCTATCCAGACTATAAGATATATCACACTATATATGGTCATGATGACATCACATCATGATCATATATAGGCACATCATGACTATATATGGGCATAACAGTTTTTTGTCAAAGAAAATTTGATAGTGTGCACAGAGCTTTAAATTTTCATTTGAATTTTAACCATACATAAATATTTTAATAATCCATTTGTAAAGATTTTTTATATTACTACTTGAATTTTTATTTCAATTGCTTTGCTTACTTGTCCAGGTGATGGCACACCATTAGCATATCCAAGTGCTCATCGATAGTGTTTCTTGTGAAAGGTCGAGTTGGGTTAGTAGATGATGGCAAGACATTCTTTTCTCCGCACACCTTGATGATATCTGGAGCATGGCCACCACCAGCTCCTTCAGAATGGTATGTGTGAATGGTACGTCCCTGAAATTAATTCATTATATCTTAAATAAGGATTGTAGAAACTAAAGCTCTGTCCACACCACAAATCATCATTAAAAATAATCTATTGCGAGCGCATCGTGCTGTGCTACATAGAATCGCGTTGGCGGACGACCACAGTGAGTGCCCAGCTGAGGAGCTATTCTGCTCTCACCTTAAATGCCTCAATTGTCTGCTCGACGCATGACGACTCATTGAGTGTGTCTGTGTGAATCATGACCTGGATGTCCATTTTCTCGGCCACACGCAGACATGTATCAATGGCAGCAGGGGTAGAGCCCCAGTCTTCATGGAGTTTAAGACTATAAAATAAAAAGAAGCCACGCATAATAAAGCAGCCTAGCTCAGTTGGCTAAACTAAATAGCATTTTATTAATTAATATAGTTTAACTTCATTAGATTTATTGAACAATCTCACTCCACATGTGCATTTTGGCTTTTTCCATACTGTTTTATAGACGGAAAAGAGAGCTTGGTGGCAAATCAGCAAAGGAAGCTGGCTGTACAGTGTTTCCTGGTTTGAAACCATTACTTTTATCAGTAGTTTGAGTGCTTTGAACATTTGATTTAGACTTTTCTGCAACCGCTGCGCCAACTACTCCCTGTTACACTGCCATGAGTGCTAACTTACCCGATGGCTCCAGCCTCTATTTGTTCTTCTAGTTCACGGACATCACCAGTTGATCTGCTTGTGTTGCCTTTTCCTACAGGATAATTGTATGTGTAAATAAGATGCACAGACAGACTGATATATTGCAGATACAGTAAATAGTAGATAGGTATTTGTTAAGTACGTAGGTAGGTATAGAAGGCAGAATGCAGAAACCCTGACAATCGCACACATGGGTTTCACAAGGGCGAATCCCCAAATACACTGTGATGAACCAAGGGTTTTAAAAGAGATATAACACTATTTACAGTATTGAAATTTAGCAAAAATATATATAAACTGAATGTAGGTGCAAGTTGAAACTCACATGGTCATCCAGCTCTGCAGTCACGTTAGAACTACTTATTAAATTTTTAACTCTCACCCTGACCTTTGCCACAGCGAATTGTGCAAAGATGAGCTGGTATCGGTAAGGAAATGCAAAGATGCATACATTTAGTGATAATTAGGAACGCTTTTTAGTTAAAGTAGTAACAGGTTTTAAAAAGGGAGCCTTTTGAAGTTTTGGGGGCGGGTGCACCTGATCCCCCTTCCCACGGGCCTGTGTTGGATGATGGAGATATATATAATAATATTGTTAACAGACTTCTCACCTGTGAAACCAAAGTTGAGGGGTAATACATCTGTACTTTGGATCATATTCCTTATATGGTATGGCCCCGGTGTGCATGTTGTTGCACATGTTCCTGTGGCTGGTCCTTGAATAATCAAGTAAAAGATGTTCAGTGATTTCATCAATATTATTATTATTATTAATTATCAACACACTATCAATATCAACATTTAATTATCAACACACTATCAATATCGCATTTCGAAAATATGAGCATATTTCCGTGGATATTTTTCCACGGAAAATTGAGGCCTTGATAGTAGAAACAAGTATTTACGATTCTATTTTTCTAGAGGTTTTCCCGTGCAATTTGAATTAGTTTTTTTGTATATGTATTTCCCCAAATACATAAATTAAAATTAGTATTAGAATTGATTAAGATCTGCATAACGGGTACAAACATACGATATGTCCACCCCTCCCTCCTCCCATCCCCAAAATAATGTCATAAAACACAGTCCTGTCAGCCTGTGGCTGAGAACTCGTGTATTGTGGGAATCAACCATGTCTGAGAAATTTTTACTTGCAGTTGTCCTGATGACAGCTTTTAAACAGGCAGAAAACAATCAACACACTCTTACATACATAGAATATTATTATTATTTTTTAAATTTTTTTTTATAAATTTTATCACTATTATTAGTGTAACATTTATTTACTCTCTCACCTGTTCCACCACCAAACATGGTTGTGATCCCTGAAGCAATGGCCTCGCGTGCAAGTTGTGGACAGATGAAGTGAACATGGCAATCAATTGCTCCAGCAGTCAATATCAATCCCTCACCAGCAATTGCTTCAGTTCCGACACCAACCACCAGTCCAGGTGTTACTCCATCCATTGTATCTGGGTTACCAGCTTTTCCAATTCCATGGATTAATCCATTCTAAAACAAAAGTCAAGGTAACATTTTACAAGGTAAATTATATATATATAAGGATATGTGGCAAAGACAAGCCAAACCAGTCACTCGTCGCACAACAACAAAACAACCTCAAAGAACTATAATGCAAAAAAATATCCCTTTTGCAAGAAATCAACAGAGATGTCTTCCTTCTAAAATTAACTTATTTTAGTGAAACTTACACTATAGTTGTAGGTATGTGGGGTTTTGTCAAAATAATAATATGATATAATAATATTTTTATAAAGTGCCTAAATGCAAAAAATGGACTCGAAGCAGCTGTTGAAAGAGATAACAAAGGATGTAGGATTACTATTATAAATGTTAAGCCTATTGTATGAAGAGTAGTCTTCTAGGGCCTTTTTAAAGCAATCAATGTTTGGTGAAGGTTGTATGTCAAATGGAAGTGTGTTCCAGGGAGTCGGTCTAATTGAGGAAAAACTTCTGTCACCATTTGTTTAGAGTTTTGTTGCATGTTTTTGGTAAGATATGATTTGATGAATGAAGTGTGCAAAAATGTAAGACACGATTTGATGATGAATGAAGTGTGCAAAAAGGTAAGTGGTCAATGAGATAAGTTGGATCGATGTGATGATGTATTTTAAACATAATTAGAAGGACTTTAAAGTGAATCTGAACCATAATACGTAGCCACAGTTGAGCTTACAGAGCACTGGTGTGTGTTCACTTGGTTTAGTTTGTGTTACAGTCCTTGCTGGTGAATTTTGGATTTCCTGAAGTTGCGTTACTTCAGAATTTGGTAAGCCTGCTAGCAAGCAGTTACCAGTATGACTATTAAAAGATTATTACTAGTCCAATTTGGTGCCTTACCTTAATGCCAACATCAGCTTTTATTATTCCTGTGACAGCGTCTAATATCAAAGCATTTGTTATGACTGTATCCAAAGCATCGTCGCTGGTCACGTGGGCAGCTTGACCCATTCCCTCTCGCAGCACCTTGTTCAACATTAATATATAAACATTTTATTAATTTATTTCATTCTGTCATTTGACAAACAAGATAAGCTATGTAGATAGAACAGTAATATCTTTTTTAAACTTCATTTTGTATTAAGTTAAATATGTTGTATTAGGGTTGGTATGTTGGTAAGCTATGTTTTTTTGACTAGTGCCAACCATCACTCTATTGTACATATAATAGTAACTGTATTTGGTTGGTAATTGTAATTCAGAATTTAGGCAACATATTAAAGCTTGAAAAGTAGCCTTTTGAAACAATATTCAAGTGATCTGCAGAGACAGGCGAAAACCCCAACTACAGTATATATTATTTTATAGTTTGAATAGAAGAAGTAGTAGAAAATAACTAAGAACACCCTATGTTACCTTTCCACCGCCAAATTTACATTCATCACCATAAACAGTAAAGTCTTTTTCTACCTCAATAATCAAACTGGTGTCCCCAAGTCTGACCTGCAAGATAATGAAGAAATAAAAATAACATGAGGAATAAAATAACAACAAGAACAATATGTCTAGGAGACTTGAAATGGGAGGGCTGATGGAGTAGTCGTCTCGATGATAAACAACACAATAATGAAAACTAGTTGGTTTTTTTTTTACCCAGGACCCTGGGGTAGAAAGGCAAGCATCTCAATCAAGTTATTCAACTCCCCTCCAAAAGATTGGTACGGGAGTACTGCGCAATTCTCCAAAAGTATCTATATGGTGAATATATTTTTTTTGGTAATTTTATTCTTAGTAATTTTCTTCATTGTACAGTATTTCGATATAATGTATATTTGTTTTGAGTTATATTTTATATGTACTTTGTTTACGAAATAAAGAATAAATGAAATGAATACAAATTCTACAACAATTGTAATTTTAATAAACAGATAAATACAATAATTTTTTACATTTTTTAAGATGGAAATCAATGGAATTATGGTTTTATGACACTGCTAGCAGGAAAAACAATATAGAATCAGCAGAATTATGAGAAAATCTGAATCAGATGTATTTTATTCTTGCTTTATGCAATACAGCGCTATGTCTGAATAATAACAAGAGTCTGGTATCAGTTTGAATGGAATGAGCTTGATGTAACATACTGTAATAATCACATTAATAAAATGGTAATTCATTTTGACACTTACTTTGTCTCCCACGGTTGGACCGTAGGTATGAGCGTATACTGTTCGTGAGATAGTAGAAGTAAATTCTCCGATCAACAAATTCTCTTTCTGTATGAGAAAAAATCCATGAACATTTTCAATATTTTATAAAATGGAAAAGAAAAGGTAAAGTGACACCAAATGGAAGACATGCTGCAAGAGAAAGGAAGATAGTAAGAATGGAAGAAACTGTGTGGTACAGTGGCAGGGCTCTAGGCTTTCAAATGAGAGGTTGTGGGTTCGAGACCAACACTAGTAACATTCTTGTGCTTGACAGGACATTTTATCTACATTTGTCCCCTTTATCTAGGAGTACAAACACAGTTAGGTACCTGGTAGGAGGTGAATGATCAGGGAAAACAATTAGTAGTGCTGATTTCTGCATACATAAATAGGGTCACTCCCCTGGGGAGGAGGATGTCCTATTGAACACTGTGCAGATCAGTCTGAACCAGTAACGTATACAGGGGGTGCACACGGCCCCCTAAAAAACTTGCACCCCTTCCCGTCTCCTCCATTGAACATGTTTGAAGGGGAAAAAAAAATCACGCCCTAGTAGAAAAAGATCAGCTCATTATTACATTTTGTGAGCTAACACCCCTCACTTAATCATCAAGCCATCTACTCCATCAGCCCTCCCACTTCAAGCCTCCTAGAAACGCCACTGAACAATTTACTCTACCAACAAAAAATGTGCTTTGAGCACCTGTCCACCTTGGCTGCTCTGGTGATTGATGCTATGACAATGGTATTACATCACCTAAAGCATCTACATATTTGTGTGTGGCCCTCATTGTTTAATCAAAAATTTACTTTGGCCCTCTGATACACTTTTTATGCTCGCCCCTGTTGTATACTGCATGATCCTCGCATTGAAGAGGCTGGCCTTACAGTAAGATAGATAGCTCATACTAATGACAGATTACCTGTTCCTTGTGGCCAAAGAGTTGCAGCATATCTTGAATTTCACTGAGTTTTTCAAGTGAGACTTGACCATCTGCGATAGCATTTCCACCTCGAATCACTCTGGAATTGTAAGACATGCCAATATTGTTAAATCATATAATCAACGTTCTGTGGTTATAAAATTACAGATTTTTTGTTTGTTTTATTTTTTAAATATACAGGTATTTGTGTAACTATTAGAAGCTATGAACCACTTTTTTTCCATGGATGTAAATTCTGATATATTCAAAGTAACAAGAAGCAACATCTAGTTTTAAATCATTGAATATCAAGGGAAAATAATCATCAGTACATTCTCTGAATGGAACAGCAAATTGACAGCTTAGTGCAATATGATTTGCATAAAAGCCTATTATTTTAATATTTAATTAGTGTAATTAACTAAATTAATCAAAAATAATTAGTTCAATAAGCATGTTACAAAAATCATTAGAAATTATTATTCAGCATGCATGGTGTCACATCAGTTTTATAGATTTTAAATATTATGTAGGAATTAAAAAATAAACGTACTTCCGTCCCCCTATTTCAACTAGATGGACATTCTTTGTTTCCCCAGGCTCAAATCTGGTAGCAGTACCAGCTGCTATATTCTACAAATATTTCAGAAAAAGAGAGTGACTGAAAGTTATTGATTGATAAATAAATAGTGTTAAAGTTTGTTTATAAATTCATTCAGATTGTTGCATATTAAAACGAGTTTACTTTTGCTTATCTGAGCTAAGAAATATTTCATAACATAATATAAATTTGTACCAGAGACTTTCTTATAGCTCTGGTTTAACTAATTGTAGCTCTGGTTTAACTAATTGGGTTCATGGTTGTCAAGTTGGGGGTGGTTGTGGGGATAAGCTCCCATTACCTATAAAGTTCTCCCATATGACATGCGTCTCAAAAAGCCTCTGACAACCAAGTCCAGCTCCTGGCCTGCTCCTGCTCATGTGGCCTAGTTTTTAAGCCCGGCAAACTTGCTTTTACTGACAGGAGAAGGGGTGAAGGCGTATCACTGGCGCCTAAAAACCAGTTGCTTCGGGTAGATGGGGCTCGTCAACCTGGGAAGGCAGCTCATCTAGGAGAAGGAAAACTCTGATTTTAAACCTCCGCTGCCTTGCGGCTATATCAAATCATGGAAAAGGCTTCAAGAGTCAACCTCGAGGCTAAATCAGGAGCTGGAGTCCCTTAGGCAGTTCTTGACTGTTTACAGTCACGTTCTGGCAACTCCTGCGACGTCGCTGGAACCAACCATATTGGCTGCTGCCTTTCCATTGGACCATTTCAGCGACGTGGAGTGTGGGGGTCTACTGCATGGGTAACAGTCTACGCCCCATATCAAACTTACCCAGACTTCGCACAATGGAGAGATACAGTCATGCTAGACGATGTTTCGGAAACACCATCCACCTAAGATTTAACTAACTATAAGGATACTTGCAGGATACTCTGTGTGCACACATTGAAAAACAGACACCCAACCATCAATCAATCTATACAATTTTTATTTTGTCCTTTCTAAATTTTATATCCATTTTGTTTTTTCCTTCCCCATCTTAACAACAGTATTTTGATTTTATTTTCTTTTATGTCCTTTCCTATCCTTACTATTTACATTTTTTACTTTACATTTACAATCCTCACTATTTTGTTTTGTCCTTTCTAATACAGTATTTATTATTTTTGATTTTTTTTGTTCATTCAAACCTTCACATTTTGTTTTTGTCTTTTACCATTTTGGTTTTCCCCAAATGTTTAAATTTTGTATTATGTTTCTGTCCTTCAAAATGTTTACCATTTCATAGTTGCAGTACATTGCAATAAATTGTATTATATTCTGAGGAAAGTATTCCTCCTACTTACAAGACGCATTCCGTATGCCCTCTTCCGATCAAATGTCAAATACTTATTTGCTTCAACAAAATGATAATGACTACCAACTTGAATGGGACGGTCACATCTACTGGTCACTGTTAGCATGTCCGTTCTACGACCACAGTTCAATTCAATTGGTTCCTCAGAACCGACAAGGAGTTCGCCTGGGACGACCTCTACTGAAGCATCAGCAGGACCAACATCCTAAATTAAAAATTATGATTAACAATCAATAGTTATTTAATGGTATTTAATTTTAATAATAATAATAATAACAAACATTTATAATGTACAATTCAAAGATTTAACAAAGGCGCAGCCGACTAGATGTTGCACTTTTCAATAACTTTCTCCTCCCCTGAGGGTCACTTCATGTCCTCTGCAGCCAGTAAACCAGAGCCGACCGTGAACCCATGCCGATATTGTTGACTATGGTTACGGTGCCCCTGCCTTATCCACTCGGCCATTGGCTCGCTCAAAATTTAGAATTTTAAATTTAAATTCAAATTCAAATTTAACTTTATTGCAATCGAAAAAAATGGATTGGATGAGACAATTTACATTACAAGAATAGATAAAAGCATTCAAAAAAAAAATTCTTTTACTTGTTAAAGTTTTTTTTTTTTAACAATTAAAAGAATTCTGTTATTTAAGAAGTATAATAACAGAAGATGGAAGATCTGAAAAGAACATTAAAAGAAGAATTGGAATAGCCAAAACAAAATTCAGAGAAAATAAGGATATGCTAACAAGTAATGCCAAACCTGAAGGTGAGAAAACAAATCATTAAAGCAAAAGTATGGAATACTGCATTTTATGTAAGCGAAACATGGACACTAAGAGGGATTTGGTCATGGAGAAAATTGATGAAAGTAAAATACAAAAAATGAAGATCAAATGAAGCTGGACTACAGATGGTGGATGAAGATAGATAATCAAAATGATAAAAAGGTGACAGAAAACATGCATAGGACACATAATCACCTACTGAAAACAGTAATTGAAAAACTGTGCATTGGAAAGATGCAAAGAGGAAGAAAGCGAATTGCTTTCTTGGATGACTTGAAAGATGGTAACAGCTATGGAATTTTTCTCAATGTGCATTGCTTACAGTCAATCACTATGGATGCGCAGTTGTTTCCGCCTTAAAGCTACATTTATCTTTTACAAAATACTGAACATATTAATATTTTCTACGATATTTTCTATGAAAAAGAGTTTCAAATTCAATAAAATATTTACATGAGCTTTAAATGGTATATTTCAACTTGATTTTCCATAAATTGGATAAAACTCAATAATTCTAATTTTAACAGATATTAATTTCATATGGAATGATTGAGGATTATAATAAATTAAGTCATTTTAGTGTGAACTAAGCGTAGACTATTCGAAAATTCAATCCAAAATCTGAGTAATTCTCATTTTTCATTCTCATCAGTCAAATTTATAATGAACACAGAAGCAATTGCAACTGAAATATTTTGCGGAATCTGTTCTTCAAATATACATATAATGACATACTAAAAGTCTGAAAAAAAACCAATCCGGGGAACATTGTTAATTTTAAAGATATTAAATGAGTTAACATCAAATTGTTTTTCGCACAACTGCTATGTTGTTGAAGCCATAGAGCTATTATAACTTTAGCTTGTTGTTTCCAAGTTGTTACTAACAAAAATATGGTAAGATATAGTACACACCAGCATGAGAGGCAGGAAACACATTGGTTTGTCGCGTCAAAGGGATCTGTTGCCGAGTGATCTCCTTTTCAATAATACCTCCATGGTGACGCTAACTAATTCCAGTGCCATTAGTGCAATTTGCAGATATGTGACCCAAGCTCACAAACAGGCTGTAAACTCATCCACAAGCCATTGTTATACTGGCATAGAACATATCATTTACTTTAAAATGGCAGTTAAATGAACTCAATCGGGCGTCTGGAAGCAAAGTTATGACCGTTTGAATAATTGTCGTCTTCTCAACTTTCTTAAATCAAGTTTTCAGAAAAATGCTTTTATTTTTTGGCAATTTCCTATTCATATTCAATAACTCACATTTGAAAATGGCTAGGTTTTGCCTTTTACAGTTTTCATTTTAAACTCAAACTTCAGGAATAGTAAGATTAATAATTATACTTTATTTATTACACAAAAACCCAATTCACACGAAATTCATATTTTATGGCATGTTCTGGCTATTGAGGCTTGTTTCTCAATACAGTGCTGTGCGATTTTACAGCCTGTTTGTGAGCTTGGGTCACATATGACATTTTGCAAAATTGACAGTATTTTAAAATTCATCAGCAATATGTTGATGATCATCAACATAATCATGTTGCTGAGACAGTCATCATATAACTATGATAGATGTTGAGAGCATCTCCATGTTGATAGTAAAGATAATTAGGAAGATGTACTGTAATTATTTTGACTAATATTTTAAATTCTTACTAATAACAAAGATTCAATAACTAATGCTATCAATTTATTATTGTCCACACTATCAAATGTTATTTGACAACTGAATGTTAGAATGTGAACAAAGTCTTAGAATGAATGGCTTGCATCTTCGAATTACCTTTTCTTTTACATTGAATACACCTTCATGATGTACTATAGGTAAGAAACTACCATATAGCGCATTCTGGAGGTTTCCTTCTTCGGTAGCAATAGGCTCGTGAACAGTAACCAATTTAGTGCCATCTGGAAAAGTTGCCTCAATCTGGACCTCTGGAATCATTTCTGGTACACCAGGTAAAACATGTCGAAAACCTGTAGGTAAAATATTTCAAAGTTAAGAATAATGCAAGCTATAAAATAAAAATGAACTGTTTTACTCTAGTCACTACAGTAGGTCAGCGGTGGATTGTTGGGTTAATTGAAGTGTATTCAAGGAAGTGACAGGACTGTACACAGGCAGAGATTTAATTGAAAGTCAGCGCAAAGGAAAACTGAATGTACATTTGAGTGCATATTTCACTCATATCAGTCAGCGTTTGTCGGCCTAATTTTACTTTTCACTTTTACTTTTTATATAATCTTTCCCAAAAACATGATGTGTGAATATTGGTTATTGAATTTTGAATAAAAGAAAACCAAAAAAATATTACCTAACATCTTGCGTCCAAGATCCATAATCTGAGAAACTGAATGCTGTCCATCACGAACAAACTCTTGCAACTGAGGTAAGCAATTTTTATTTTATATAAGTGTATGAAAAAATGCATAAAAATAATATTACTGTAATAAATACCACAAATGACTGGAGTTGTATTGGTCACAAAATATTTTTTTTTTCTCGTACAAGTAATTTTAGCTGTCGCGCTCTTCAGGTAAAAATGAATAAGAAAAATGAATCCGTTAGAAATTCGTTGTTTATTTATAGTGTCCCATGGCTGATATGAAAAATCAAGGCACATGACAGCTGCCGTGCCATGCCATTACTTTCATAAGTAGTACTCCAATCGATATAACCACAATACGTATCATACTTTTTGCCTAATGAATGGGGTGGGTAGCCAGCATTTCCCAGTCCCCAATTTATATAATTAGTAAAAAAAAAAACTTTAGATGGGTGGCTCACCTGACAAGACAGCAGTGCAACCGCCTCAGGATGGTTGAGTTTTGTCCCACGTGCTAATCTCTTTTGGGCAAGATATCCTGCTTGGTGGATCAACAGACTTTCTTGTTCTCTTGGACTTAGTTTCATTGTAGAGAAACAATGTCAATGAGGCCTAAGCATATAACCACAACAGTTTTTTAATTTCTGTCACGTCACCTAAATCCCCCAATAATGGGCCTACTCTATCAATTATTAAAATCCGGGGGCCTAGCTATGTACGACGTCTAGCTATAAACTAATTTAAATTTACATACACATGTGTGATCCTCCACCTCCTCAATGCCCAACAAGCAGTCCCTCAACTGACATGTCGACCCAAGTAAAATAGAACAGCCAACCCAAGTCAAGTCATCCTTCCCTAACGTTTTCAAATAAAGGAGTAAGTCTAGCCGCCATTGTCTAAGGTTTTTGTGACTTTGTGGCCGGGGCTTCGCGTCCTTGTCGACATGTCCAAAAAATAACCAAAAAAAATAAAATAAAAAAAATATGCACGTTATATTTTTAAACATTATTATTAACAATCACGAAAATAAATTACTCAATTGTTTATGTATGTATACGCATGTATAAGGCATATTTACTACGAATGAGAAAATTTACCTGACCGTTTTCAAGAGCGGAAACCTTAAATTTTGAGAACTTAAAAGTTATTAAAAGGCACTTCAGAAGTAAGTAAGGATTTTCTCATTTTCCGCCATTTTAAATCAACATTTTTTTCCTGGGAGATCTAGAATCCCCCCTTTTCTTTGGGGTTTATTCATTCATGGAATCTTTTCCAAGAGGGGAAAACCTTGAATTTTGAAGAACTTTAAAAGAAGTCATTAAAAAACATCTCAGAAGTCAGAAAAGCTCATTTCCCTCCATTTAGGAATCAAAATTTTTCTTTTTGGGATTTATCGCTTTATAGAAAAATAATAACCGAAAGGTCCACTGATTAATCTCAGATAAGATAGTATAATACATAAGGGCCTATTCCAAGTATCGAAATACACGCCATCGTGTCGGGATTCAATATTTCGACAGGAATAATGAAAAAAAATATGTATGCAACTACTCAATTTTTTGTTATGTATGTATACACATAATAGGCCTAAGGCCTATTTGGTAAAAATGGGGAAAATTTACCTGACCGTTTTCAAGAGGGAAAAACTTTGAATTTTAAAGAACTTAAAATTAAAATCATTAAAAGATTTTCCAGGGAAGAACCCGAACCTCCCTTTCTCTTTGGGTTCATTGATTCATATCAAGAGGGAAAACCTTGAATTTTGAATACTCACTGCGCGCGACGACGAACGCACAAGACGGCGCGGAACCAACGGGTCGCTTTTTCAATGAGGATCCGTTTAGACTGCCACTCTGACAATCAGTAGACGGCGCTGTGTTACGTCGTCTATCATTCGCTGGAAGCAGAGGTGGATTAGTCGTACGACGAGTGAGTGCCCGGCTTTAAAAGTAATTAAAAGACACCTCAGAAGTCAGAAAGCTCATTTCCCGCCTTCTAAGAATCAAAATTTTCCCGTGGGAGAAACTCCGTTCTCCCTCTACTTTCCTTTTAGGATTTATCGATTCATGGAAAAAAAATACCTAGGCCTAGGCCTATGGGCCGGCTATGCAACTACTCAATCTTTTTTTATGTATGTATACACACATAAGGCCTGTTTACTGTAATTAATAACAATAGGGAAAAATTACCTGACCGTTTTCAAGAGTGGAAAACCCTGAATTTTGAAGAACTTAAAAGTAATTAAAAGACACCTCAGAAGTCGGGAAAATCCATTTCCCGCCTTCTAGGAATCAAGAGGACCCCCGGATCCCCTTTCGTTTTGGGGAAAAATGTTGACCCCATCCCCTAGATTTGATTCCAGATCTGCATGATTCATATTCCCATTCATCTATAAGTGGGGCCTCCCCCCCCCCTCCACACTTTGAAAAAACTTCCGCCGTCCCTGTAGTAGGCTGTAGGCCTACGCATTTGTATCAGCCGTACTCACTTACTACAGTGGTATTACTACGTTCCACTTACCTACTACTGTAACACACTGATATCTGGTACGGGCCTACTATCTTAACTCTGTCCTTGAATAATATAATGGATTATCACATGTGAGGTGGGGCTTTTGCAGTGTGTATAGCGTCCTCGTCCAATATTTTGTAGACTTGTTATTGTAAAATTATTTTTTCACGCTATTTTATAATGGACATAAATAGGAACTCAGTATATGCCAATAAAGATAAACAATTTTTTAGAAAATAACCAAGGAGGTATTAATTTAACAAATAAGTTATTTATGTAGTTATAACAAAAAATATGTTATGATCGATTTAACAAATTCATAATTATGTTGACTGACTGGCGTTATTATATTCATCAACTTTTTACATTACAGCACCGATTTAAGGCCCGGACCAAATTTTTCCTGGAAATCTGTTGCCGTTTTGGTTTACTGCCGATTTGACTAGAAAACCTACCAACATCAAGATTGATTGCTGTAATTTAAAGACATGTCGCAACAAAAAGTGGAATTTATCAAAGGTAGGCCTAGAGAGGGTTGAAATCAAGACTACAAATATGCTACTACTACTAGGCCTGGTAATAGTAGCCCTGTCGGCTTATTCTGCCTGACTATATCATACCAGCTTTGTAAGCCACTGCACCAGAAAAGCGCACTTTCGTCTCGATAGAAACTTTTATCACAGTCCTTTAAAGAAGCGTTCGCTATACGTAGACTACACACTTTGCTTAACAATAGGCCTTTTTCACGAATCGGTAGACATCTTGAAGTGATGACAAACATTGCGAATCAGCGGTGCGTAACCAACAGAAATAAGATAAGCTTTTGGGCTGATTTTCTGACATCATGTTATTTAAAAAACCATAACTCCATAACGGGGCGTTGTATCCAAAAAATTTTTCCAGAAAAATGTTCTTAAAAGACTAGTCTACACCACTATATGATTGAAAAAAAATTGAAAAATGTTTTTGACCTCTGAAATCAAGATGGAAAAAGAAAAGCCTATCTTAGTAAGTGTATTAAAATGGTAGCCGATCTTTTCAGTCGCGCTTCGTTTCGGTCGCGCTTTGTTTCGGTCGCGCTTCGTTTCGGTCGCGGTTTATTTCGAACAAATATATGGAGCGCCGAAGGAGTTGCGAAAACGAAAAATTTAATATGCCTAGGCCAAATATATTATTATAATATAAGTATTATTGTTTTGCTATCTTTCCACAAACAAAATATCTTTCTGCTATATTCTCTTTCTTCCATTTACGGTGATATATTCATGATTGCAACATGATCTTGTAATTGAAACAATGGAATTTAGTATGTGCTTCATGCTATTCTTTTTGTTGCATTTTCATATACTATACTTTAATAAATGGTCAATAAAATGAATCTTTGATTTTAATTGAATTGAATATTGTTACCATCTGAAATCTATTTCATAATTTAGTTTAAACAATAATCATTCAATATTTAAACTGATCATTTTATACAATAAATATATTTATTTTTCTTGCAGTTTCCAGAGTTTAGATAAAACATACCGAGAGAACTGAAGGAAACACAAAGAAATAAACGAATAATACGCACATTATCATTCACTTGAAATCTTTAATACCCCTGCGCAGTTCATAAATATGAATATATATTTATATATGATTTTATCATATTGGATATACCTAATTCTGAGGAGTCATTGTAACTCCCCATGTGGGGTAGT